GGCGGTTGGTGGGGGGGGGGGGGGGGAGAGAAAGAGAGAGAGAGAGAGAGAGAGCGAGAGAGAGAGAGAGAGAGAGAGACGCACTACACAGGCTGCACACATTGCCCGTGGGCCCTAACCTGACAAGAAAATGGGTCGATTCTCCGACCTCGCTTTAGCAAATGCCTCCTCTCCCCAAGGATACCTATTTTCCAAATTGCACATAATGTCACCAACAAATTATAAAACACTTTAATCACTTTGCGGTTCACTCTGCACGTCAAACATTATTCTGTTTAACTGTCTTCATAATATTTCATTCATTCAGGATGTTCTTCCTCTTCCAAAATTGCAATGTCAGCCAAAGACGAATTTCAGAGGTCATTCCCAAAGTGCAAATTCACAATGAAAGACAATGCCACCCAATTGCAAAAGAAATGAAAGCACTTACAAAGAGATAGAGACCAAAGAAAAGAGAAAGAAGAAGAAGAAGAAGATGTACACCAGCAAGACCAATGACAAATCCCCCTTCTCTCTCCACCTTCCTCCTCCTTCACTTCGCCAATCTTATTCTTCTTCCAATAATAATAATAACAATGAGTTGATGAACCAGAATCAATATCCGAAGTTCCCTCTTACTGCTGACATCACAATAGGTCCACCATACCTATAGCTTCCCCCCTTCTTCCACCTCTCTCATGCCTAGGCTATGGCGGACTGCTGGGGGCTCTGCCCTCCTGTGCAAAGGACAACGCAAAGCAGCTCTGTCGCTGCACTCCTGTCCAGAGGACAACCCAAAGCAGCTATGCCGCTGCTGACTGAGCCGCCATGCCTGACTCTGCCTCGAGCTTCCTTGGTGCGGCACTACCCCAACTGGGGCCTTCCAGATGCAGCGCCCAACAAGGTGATGAAGATTGTGTCCACCATAGCCAGGTACGTACCTTTCCACTCTCATCCTTCGCCCCCTTCTTCCTCCTCCTCAGGCTGGGCTGCTCGCCATAGCCAGGCTGAGTGCCCAGCTGCTCGTCACCTCCAGGCAGCGCTGCCCAAGTCCAGCGCTTGGCTCCAGCAGCATGTCGCCAATCCTTGCATACCGCAAATGAGGAGCTGCTTGCTCCTCCGGAAGATATAGCGGCCTACTGACCTCTTGAGCGGTGACTTCCTAGGCCGAGCGACCTCCCAGCAACTGGTACCTCCTCCCTTCTGGAGGGAAACATCATTGCAGACTCTGCTATCGTCCCCACAGGCCCTAGACTCGGGCTACTTGGACTGGTGCCGGCCTACCTCTAACCTACCGCTACTGGGCCTCTAAAATTGCCAACTTTTTGCCTTCTTCTGCTCGGCCTCCGGTACCCGACACTTCTACCAGTACTTGAGTGGTACCGGCCTACCTGCTTCTCGAGTCTTTTCCCTGCTGCAACCCGGCAACCAATTGGGACTGTTTGAGGCTGACTATCTCAGCCTACAGCTCTTGATTCCGCTGCTCTAGAACTATCACACGGGACTCAAGATCTTCCAAGGTCCGCAGTTGAGCCAAGGCTGCTACGGCAACAGCTAGCTTCTCTCTAAACCGGTCATCACTAGACTCCGGAACCTCTAGGAGGGCCATTTGTGTAGCAATACTTGTGGCTTTGGCTGCTGCCTCTGCCTCCCTCTCTCTGTGCATTGCGTCCTCGTAAAGTTTCTGAAAGAAAGGTTTCTCGCTCTCGGTCGCTGCGTCCAGCATGGCCTTCCATTGTGCGGATGAGATGTCTGCCATGCTGGAGGATGGGGTGTCAGTAGATCTCTCAAGAGGTTCGCACTTTGCTCACGTTTGGACGAACTCCTCTTACCCCTCACACTCTCAAAAAGAATACCTTATCTCCCTTCTCTCTTTCCGCTTTCTGTGCACGCGTCTCAATGTTGGACATAGGTAGTTCAGATAAAGAAAAACAAATAAATCACAAAGAGCAAAAGGTAGAACTCCTAGCCGGAGTGGCGATTCATTTGCACTTGGAGAATGACATTCACACAGCAAAATAAAAAAAATAATAAATAAATAGATAAATAGATAAATAAAAACAAACAAAAGAGAGGACTGACTTAACGAACGGGCCCGATCGGATTAGTTGGAGATCCCCTCTTGTCTCATCTAACAAGGAACATGTACACAATAAGTCAATCGAAGAAAACTAACTGCAGCAATGGAGATTTCCAAGGGTGCAGACAGTCGTTGAGCAAGACGCGGGGCAGTATGTGAGAACAAGAAGTAAGACCAGTCAAGATCCCCTTGAAAGGAATATCCTTAGTAGTCGTATATCCCCCAAATTCAGCACAGCAAAGAGATGCATTCGCGACAATAGGTTTGGGTCCTAAAGGTCATGTCCCATTGGGCCTGGTCCCACCGAGTCCCGAATGGTCCCGAGTAGGTCGTAGACCAGGACCAACGAGATAGGTGTACCAAGTCAATCCCAAACTGCCTCTACCATACTGAAAAGGAAAAGACAACTTTCAACAAGAACTTACCCCTATAGTCATTCAGAAGTGAAAAGACAATGCACCGTAGAAAGATATCTCATTGAGAACAAGATACATCATCCATCCATCCATCAGGTGAGAAAGCAATCCACATGCTCACACACACAACCAAAACCACAAAGAAGAGGCAGAGAGCCCAGCACACCCCAACAGGCCATAAAGCACCAAGCAAACTCCCACGTGCATACCCAGGTCACACGGCACTTACCTGTGAGGCCCAGCCTCCAAAGATAACTACTCACCCCCCTCTCTCATAGGTCCTCCTGACCCCTAGCTACCACTACACGAAGTGTCCTAACTGAACAAAGAGGCCCTCCCTACACCCCTGTTACGACGCCAGATCCTTTGTCGATGTTTGAAGACCAAAGTAGTAACTTGCAACTCTTCGATGCAGATATGGCAGCCTCCAATCAAGTCTCCCTCTTGGGGGGAAGCCCAAAAGTCGCTCAATGTCTTCTTGAAGTGCAGATTCCAGATAGGAGTATCTCTCACTCTCTACTCCCTCTCGCTTATGTCTTCTTGAAGTGCAGATTCCAGATAGGAGTACCTCTCACTCTCTACTCCCTCTCGCTTACTCCAATCAACCTCCTTTGTGTCTTGCCACCCCATTCAATCACACAAGCAACCTGGTCAGGTCTGACGTCCACCCTACATGACCTAACCAGGTGGGGTGTTACAAGCCCAGCCGGGCGATGAATATATATAACCAAGGATCCGCAGTGTGATGAAAAGGACTGAATTGACAAAGCAGTGCAAGTAGAATCTCAACAAGCAGTGTACGTTCTGATACATACAAAAATGGTGCTTTATAGTGCAGGGGAAGACTTAGATACAAGTCTTGACCTGGTCGGGACTGACCTCTCAAACGTAGTACAAGACAACGTAGCGAAATGCTAGAATACCAATGACAAGCCCAATCAATGTCGCATTACAAACCAAAGATACATCAGCCTTATCACAAAGTGTGAAGGGGCCCGGCACTACACACAGAAAAAATGCGCCAGGTCCAGATCATGCACAGACGAAGAGGAGGGAAACAGACGAAGGAGAGGAGGGGGGATATGAGAAAGTCGCCAACACCAAGTCTCGTTACAAGTCCCAAATAATCCCTCGCCAAATGTCTGAAGTCCAATGTCAAGTCTGGATCCAAATGTCACCAAGCTCTCTTTATCTCTCGTAGTCTGCTGATGCAATGAAGTCAGGTAGCTAGAGGGTGAGAGGAAGATGGTGGACTGAGAAGAGAAAGAAGGAGAACTCTTTCTCTCTCTCATATGCCACGTACTAACTTGTGAAGATGGCGTTGTGTTGCAGGTACCTCAAACGAAGCTGGAGCTATGGCGCTGCAGGTAAGTATCCCTGGCCTCCGCCCAATCTCTCTCTCTCTCCAGTTCTACTCTAGCTCCTACTAGCGCCCAACGCTGAATATTGCTAACACTTCTAGCGCCCAACGCTGAAGACTATTGCTAGCACTACTACTACTACTGCAGCGCTCCTCCAGAGTGCTGCTACCAAATCCTGAAGACGATCTCGTGCCTCCTAAACTACCTGCCTGCCTGCAGGGCGGGCCAGCCCTATATTGTGCTGGCCCGCCCAAGAGGATGCTCTTGCCAATGCCGAAACGTGCCAGACCCTGGCGTTGAAGCTCAACCAGGGGTTTGTCTTAAATAGGCCAAAAATGACCTGAGCTAAAACCCTAGTCTGGTGCCCGAGTTTCAAGGCGGGTCGATCTGATTAGGGCCTGAAAATGGCCCTCAGTTTCAGGCTGAAAAGACTAAGGACCGAAAAGGCCCTGATTTAGCCTGAAACGACACAGGGCCTGTAGGCCCTTGTTTTCAAGCTTTAAGGCTGAAACGACACGAGGCTTGTAGGCCCTCGTTTTCAGGCTTTTGGCCTGAAAACATCACGGGCCTGAAAGTGGCCCGTGCAGCCTGTTGCAGGCGCAGCATGTAACACCCACCCCTCCTTATGAAGTCAAGCCGGGTCGAGGGCAAAGCTAACAATCTGTAGGTGGAACCTGGACGCGGGTGCGACGTGGAGCTGAAGATACCGGCTTGCCTTGCATGTTCCATTCGTAGCATGCGAGAATATCCGAAGATATTGCTTAGAGTTCGACATGGGTCAACCAACGGCCAGCTTTGTGAGTGCAATACGCAAAGCGTACCAAGTACTCGGTTGGCCTGTTGTCGTAGCGCCGCTGGGAGATGATATCGTCGACCTCTTGAAAATCGTCCATAGAAGGTGGGTCTTGCGATTGTCGCCCGAGAAAATCGTCATGTTCCGCTGGCGTGTAAAGAGCGAAGTTGGAGCAATGAAAGATAAGAGTAGACGGGCAAGTGGGCGGGCACCTGAATGGTGAAAGAAGGTCCTTCGGGTGCATCCCCAGCGGGTGCCACAATCGGCTAGGGCCCCATCCATTTCGGGAGGAGCTTGCGAGAGATATCTTGTTCAAGGTTGAACTCCGTCGCATTGTTGGCGCGGAATGGGCAAGGAAGACGTTGGCGGTTGGCCTGTTGGCTCATGCGTTGCTGCATCTTAGCCATCTCGTTGTGTGCCTTGACAAGTAGCTCTTGCATCCGACACAAGAAAAGAAGATGGTCGTCGCTCTCGATCGTTCGTGGAATGATTGTGTCCAACGGAGAAGTGACCGGCGAGCCATGATCGAACTCTAAGGGCGACATCCCGATAGCC